CCCCAAAACCCCAAAACCCCAAAACCCCAAAACCCCTAGAAGTTGAAAATTAAAATTAAATTCAAGTTCGAAATAAAATTAAAAAAGTAATTTTTGAAATTATAATTTCAATGTGGAGATGCATTATTTGCTTCAAATTAATTTCTTAGCAGCTTGAAGGGCTTTTCTTTAAAGTTTTTCTATTCCTAACTTAGAGATATTCATTCCTTTGCATATTGCTAGTCTTAAATAATTGTCACTTTTATACCTTGAGTTTCCATAATAGAATAAACTGCCAGGCATTGTAATGACCCCTCTTTCAAGAGCTAGCCACCTAGATACAGCTAAGTCCAGAGGAATACGACCATCTTCCATGAATACTCTATTTCTATTCACCTTAGAATTTTTATCTTCTTCATAGTCATGGGATTCAAGGTACTGCTTTGGAATTATATCTTTGCATTCAGATATATCTGCCATCATAAAATAACCACTTTGAGAATGAAGTGGCTTGATAGGTATATCCATGTGATCTTTCAACTCTGTGTACATATAATCTCTCACATTCTAGAATTCTTATTTCATGAACTACCTGTAAGTGAGACCCTCTTTAAAACCTGGTTATTCTATAGTGTCGAGCGATCTCGCAAAGGCCACTTAGCCAGGAGAGTTGAGAGTATAGTAAATAGTGTTTGAAATAACATGAGCATTCCTGAGTAGCTCAGCTGGCCCAATGGTCCAACCAATTTTCCATCCAGTAGCACAGAATAGTTTGCCACCGCTAAAGATTGACAGGGTTCTATTATAGTTATTACCAATGTTAGCAAATAGAAGATGCTCATTGTTATCATATGTGAGGAATTCATACACTTCATCACAGAGTACTATCACATTTGGAAATTCATCCAGGATCTTTGAGATCTCTTCTAGTTCTTTTCTGGTGAATAATTTCCCAGTCGGGTTGTGGGCATTGTTTAGTAGCAAAATTTTGGTTTTACTATTGAGTGCTTGCCTTAATAACTCTGGCCTGAATATCCACTCTCCCATTTCATTTAATTCAAGTGGAACTGTTCTGTATTAAGCCTTGGCATACTCTATATGCTCAAGATACGGAGGAAAATACGGCTCAAACGCTACTACTTCCTCTCCTTCGTTAATTAAGGCCTGCATGAGTACAAAGATACATGCATTAGCACCATTAGAAACTAGGACTTCGGTCATAGAATTTAAATTTCTGTTTAATCTTTTGCCATAGATCTCAGCAATCTTATTTACAAGCAATGGATTGCCACTTGGCCTGACGTACTAATTAAAGCCCTCATCTACAGCTTTTATCAATTCTTGTTTTAAAAAGTCGGGCGGATTGTAACCTGGGGATCCTTCTCCGAATGATTGGCATTTATATTTTTCAGCAAGATCTTTAAACTCAGCGAAGATTGCAGTATAGTCATTAACTCTATGAGGAAGCTTTCTCTCAATAGAATGGGCCCTTTTAGATTCCATCTCTGATCTTTGTTTTTATTTAATTTAAATTAAAAATTATGACTTAGATTTAAAACAACATGATTTCTAAGGACTCTAAAATCATTGGCTGGATTGGAACAGGCTGCATGGGTAATCCAATGGTAAGTCATCTTCTTAGAAATGGCTTTAAAGTAATGATCAACACTAGAACTCCAGAGAGAGCTTAAAATTTGATTGAGCAAGGTGCAACATTTAAAAGTTCCCAAGAAATTGCGAATGAATCTGATTACATATTTTTGATGCTCGGCCATCCACAAGAAGTAGAAGATTTACTCTTAAATTAAAATACCGGAATTCTCCAGCATATGAAAAAAGGTGCTCTTCTGATAGATCACAGTACTAACAAACCATCTTTTGGGGAAAAAATTAATCAAATTGCTAAGTAATATGAATTAAGGACATTAGATATTCCTGTATCAGGAGCTGAGATTGGTGCTATTAATGGGAGACTTGTCTCTATGGTAGGAGGTGAAAAAGAGGATTTAAAGTAGATAGAGGAAATACTGAGTTGCTATTGCATAGATATTTCTTACATGGGTAAGAGTGGGTGTGGTCAACATACAAAAATGGCAAATTAAATGATGATTGCGAATACATACATTGGAATTGTTGAGGGACTTATTTATGCAAACAAAGCAGGTTTAAGATTAGATTTAATGATTGAGATTTTGAAGAACGGGGGCGCAGGTTCATTTCTGCTAAAAAATCAGGGCTATAATACAATTGAAAGAAAATTTAGCGTTGGCTTTGCGTCAGATCTCTTCATTAAAGATGTAAATTTATGTCTAGAAGAGGCTAAAAACCTAGGCCTATCCTTACCTGGTCTGGCTTAGGCATCCTAGCTCTTTATGACCTTATCTGAAAAAGGATACGGAAATCTTGGTCCTAATGGGCTACTTTTGATTTATGAGGAGCTAAATAACACAAAGATCGAAGGATACGAGAAATGTACAGAATCTTCTTGTAAATGATACGGAATCTTTTAATAAATTGACATGAATTTATAAATTCACTCCACTTCTCTCGACACTTTTTATTTTAATTTTATCCTAATATCTCAAATCTTATTTTTACATTAGTGGCCGGGGTTTTGGGGTTTTGGGG